CCCAATTGCCCCCTCTCCCCAGATGGCAGCCTGCGGCAAGTGCAGCCGGGCTGATGGCCGAGTGGTGTGATGTGCCCAGTGTGGGTACTCCGGGCACTCCAAGCCAGAACTTCTTTGCAAGCGGGGCACCCCTTAGAACTGTGTGTCCGGGGTGGGGGTCGGGACCCTTTAAGCACAGCCCTCGGCTAGCCTGAGACAGCATCTCCATGCTCTAAGTCCTCCTCTGATGCCCTGCTGGCACTGCTTCCGGCCATCCTTAACCTCGGTTCAGGGTCCACTTAATGTGGACATGCTAGTTCGAATTAGCAAAACGCTAATTCAAACTAGTTTTTTAGTCTGGATGCGTTAGTTCGAATTAGCTTAGTTCGAATGAACTAATTCGAACTAAGTTAGTTCGAATGAACATTGTAGTGTAGACATACCCCCAGAGTTTAGTCACCCTGCTTAGTCTACACTAGGGAGTTACTTCAAAATAACCCTCTAATTTTGAAATAATAAGCAGAGAATCTGCACTACCAAGAAAGTTATTTTGAAATAACAGGCTAATTATTTTGAAATCTGTACTACTGCTTTTCTTGGGGAATAAGCTATCTCGAAATAGTTCTTTCAGGAGTTATTTTGAATCTAGTTATTTCAAACTAACTTCCTAGCATAGATATCCCCTGACAATGAAGAAGTTTTTCCTAATGTCCAACCTAAGCCTCCCTTGGTGCCCATTTCCACCTCCTGTCAGAAAACATGCTATAAAGACAACCAAGATGGGACTTCAATCCACAGCTATAGAGACTGATACTTTATCCAGTCAGTTCCAGGGGCACCTATGAAAGATTATAACCCCACTGATCTAAGGTCGTTGCCCCCATGGAGCTGGCCTCCTGTGGCTTCCCGTTAACTTTCTAAGGCGCAAATCCTGCAAACATTGCGGCCCCTCAGGGGAGCTGGGCAGCTGTAGCCGGAGCCAGGAGGGGGCTCGCGTGTGCGGGAGCTGGAAGAAAGGAGGCTTATTGAAATCCTGCTCGCACTGAAGGCTTTCTAAGGCGCAAATCCTGCAAACATTGCGGCCCCTCAGGGGAGCTGGGCAGCTGTAGCCGGAGCCAGGAGGGGGCTCGCGTGTGCGGGAGCTGGAAGAAAGGAGGCTTATTGAAATCCTGCTCGCACTGAAGGCCAGGCCCGAGCCCCCCTGCCGGCGGGCGGTAGGTCTCCCGGCGCTGACAGCCCACGCTCCAGCACGTCTCTTGCCACGTCCCGGGGCAGCGCTTCGCGGGGATCGTGCCCGGGCGATGCCTGGCCCCGGCGGCTGCTGGCGGACTCCGGCCGTGCGAGGGCGCCGGGGCTGGGTGTCAGGTTTCCCGGAAGCGGCGCCGGGCTGGGGAGGCGGCGGCTGGCCGGGCGCGCGTT